GCAGCTTGCACATCGGGCATGAAGACAGGCGGCGGCGCCGCGAGCGAGCAGCGCGGTCCTGATTGCCTGGGGGCGCGGGCGGTTTCGAGGGGGCTTAGGGTTTGAGAACGTGTCGGCGCGGCAAGCAGGTGCACCGGGCTTGGGGGCCGACGGCAACGCGGACAGTGCCTGCGCCCGGGTTGCGGCTCTGGCCAAAGTTGGTAGTCCAGCGCCCACCAAACCCGGTGACGCACGCGCGCCCCCCCTCACCGATCGAGTAGCTGCCTGAGCCGCCATGCTCGCCTCGCTCACACCGCGGCGCGCCGCGTCATTGCCGCCCTCGCCGCAACCGCCCTCGTCGCCCCCGGCCGCCGCCTCGGCCCACGCTCGCAGCCACGCGCACCGCTGCAGGCCCGCCACCGCGGCCCGCGCGACGGCGGCGACCGTCGCCGAGGCATGCGCGAGGACGTGCGTTGCGATCGCCTCGGCCGCCGCCGCGGGCCGTGCCAGCTCGAGGGTGGCCGCGTGTGCGCCGCCCCTCGCGGCGAGCGCGTCCCGCGGGCGGGCGGCGACGCAGGCGAGCGCCTCGACCAGCTGCCCCGCCGCCTCGGCGCGCACCTCCGCGGGTGCGCCGGCCGGGTTTGAAAGCGGCTTGGCGCCGTAAAAGCGCTCCAGCCCCTGCACCAGCACTTGCCGCAGGCGGGCGGCTTCAGCCGGGTCCTTTGTTGCCGCGGCCACCTCGCGCCACGCGCCCAGCTGCAGCAGCAGGCCATGGCGCAGGCGCGCGTCGGAAAGGCTGCGCGCCCCCTCGAGCATGCCGGCGCGGTCGCCCGCGGCCTGCAGCCGCAGCATCTCCTCTTGGTTGGTGGGGGTTCAGTGAGGGGCAAGAACTGGCGCGGGTGTTGTGTGTTCTGTGGCTGCGCTTGCCCGGGGGCGGCGCATGGCCCCAAACCAACCCCATCCACCACCCCACCCACCCCACCCCAAATCCCACCCCGACCCCCCCACCCCCCCACCCCCCACATGCACGACCTCATCCACCTTTGCCGGGGGCAGCCTCATGCGCAGCCCGTCCCCGTGCTCAGCCAGCATGCGGCAGCAGCGCGCGCGCCCCTCGGGGCCGTCGTCGAAGCGCAGCAGCCACGCCTCGCGCAGCAGCTGCCCCGCGGCCAGGAAGCCGCCGCCCACGCGCCCGGGGCCCGCGCCGGCGCCCGCCAGCTCGCGCACAGCGGCGGCTTCGTACGCCGCCGCGATCGCGCCGCGGCCGGCGGCGCCGGCGCGAGCGAACTGGCGGCGCGCCGCCTCCTGCTGGCCGAGCGCCAGCAGCACGCGGCCCGCCTCGGAGTGCGAGCCGGCGGCGGCAAACGCCTTGGCGGCGAGGCGCAGCCACAGCGACAGGTCGCCCGGCGTCGGCGGGAGCGGGCCCCAGCCCGGCTGCGGGTCCGCCGGCGGCTTGGCACTAGCGGCGGCGTCGTCGCCGACGGCGCCGCCGCCGACGGCGCACGTCAGCAGAGCGTCCGCCGCGGCAAGCAGCACGCCCCGCCGCCGCTCCCGCTCCGCCGCGCCCGCCGCGGCCGGCGCCCTCGCGCGCCGGCCGCCGCCGGGGGCGCCGTCGGGCGCGTCCGAGGCGGCGGCGGATGACAGCTGGTAGAGGTCGTGGATGGCCGCGCAGGCGCGCGCGCGCGCGGCGTCGCCCGCCTGCGCGTAGCACTGCCCCGCCAGCTTGAACATCTGCATGCCCGCCAGGTTGTCGCCGCGCTTGCGCCACTCGGCGGGGGTGTTGCTGGCGGCGCGGGGGTGGAGGAGGGGGGTGCGGTTTGTTTTTTGGGGAGTTGGAGGATGACTGAAGGGGCCAGGTCACGAGACCCTGCCACCAGTCAAAATGCCTTTGCATGTGCGCCATAAGGGTTCAAACGCAGGCGGCTGCCGGCAGGGCGGAGCGCGGCCGCACTTGAGGGAGCCGCGCATGAGCCAGCCCCCCTCATCGCCGCCCGCCGCGCCGGCGCTGCCCATGCCGCGCAGCCCGCGGCGCACGTGGCTGGCCAGGCCCAGGGCGCGGAGCCAAAAGTAAAAGGGCGCTGCGGCGGGAGGGGGTTGCGGGGGAGAAAGGGTGCAGCCGTGAGTCAATGACGTCCCGCTTTGCACACCGCTGCCTGCAGAGCTGATCGACTGGGGGCGCAGAGCTCTCGGGGCAACCCCCCTCAATCGAGGGGTGCTTTTTGAAAAAGCCGGGGTCCCCACACAGGCGCGCAGCCTCAAAAGGCACGACAAACCCGGTCCTCACCCCTGCGCCGCGGTCAAACATGACGAGGTTGTTCTTGGCGCGCGTTATGGCCACATAGCTGCGGGGTCGGGCGTTTGTTTGGTTTTTGGTTGGAAGGGGGCGTTGGCCGAGGGGGCGGGCTGCGGGGCCCAGCTCGCTGATCGCAGAGTAGCAGCTTGCACGGCCAAGCCGCCCAAAACAGGCTGACAGGCGCTCAGCGCCACAAACGTGCACTGCAACCCCCAAAACAACCAAAACCCCCCGGCCAAACAAGAGCATTTGCAAGCCCCGGAGCGCGCACAGGTGCTTGAGGTGGAGGTGCTTGAGGTGGAGCGCCGCCCCCGCCTGCCGTCGGTGCCAAGCAGCCCCCCCCGAAACCGCCGAGCACGTCTTGCTTGACTGCCCAGCCTATGCCCAGATCAGAACAGTGTTTTTTTAGTTGGCCCTAGGGCCAAATTTGGCCCCTTCGTGTCTTTTTTTTGGCCCCTTTGGCCACCTGATAACCCAAAATGGCCACCCAGGGGGCCAAACCCAACTGCGGGGCATCCGCCGGGCGCCGGGCCGACGCGCGGCGCCCGGCGGCCGGCAGGCGCCGAGCGGGCGCGGAGCGCTGGGCGGGCACTGGCGATTGCTGGCGGGTTTCGGGTGATGCCAGCCCACGTAGTATCCCTAGCCATTAGCCTCTTATTTGTAAAAGAATGCACTTTTCCTAAGCAACTTGAATTAGTAAGCCCCCAAATTTCCCCGGGGGGCGTTGCCCCCCGGACCCCCCGCGCGCCACTGACACTCCTGCGGCGTCACCTGCCGAGGATAGGATAGGATTTACATTCCCTGCGGCCTAAGCCGCTCATGGAGCTCGACCAGAGCTCATAGGGGTTGCTTGTGGAGCTCAAAGCATGCATGCACGAAGGCTGCCATGCGGGTCTGGGGCTGTTGTGACACAAATTCGCGGAGCCGCTCGGCGGGCAGCGGCGGGGGGTGCGTGGGCTGAAAGAAACGCGCGTGGGGGGGGGCAGTTCTGATCTGGGCATAGGCTGGGCAGTCAAGCAAGACGTGCTCGGCGGTTTCGGGGGGGGGCTGACTGGCACCGGCGGCAGGCGGGGGCGGCGCTCCACTTGAGGGAAGGGCACGCCGCAAAGGGGTCAGAGCAGCAACGCACGCGCATCACGCGGGCGTGTACTAGTTTGAATTTCCGGCTCCACACCGCTTTCATTTTGCCGTAAAAGAGACCCTTCGGACCGAGAAACAGCGTCAGCCCGCGGCGCGCCACCTGAAATTTCACAACCCGTTAGGCAGCTGTTGTGGCCCCGCTGCTGCGGCCGGGGGCTTGTGTGCGGTGGGCGAGGGCGGCGTCCCACGCCCCCCAGACCTGTGGCAGATCCAGGGGGACATTGAGGGAGAGGATGGCGCCGGTGCCGTGCGTTGTGGCGTGCCGCATTTGGGTGCGGAGGCCGGCCAGGTAGCTGGGGAGCTCGGCCCCCGGCTCAGGGTGGATAAGTTGAGTGCTGCCCGCCGCCGCCAGGTGGCCAAGGGTGCTCAGCCAGGACCCGGCCCAGCTCGCGCGCGGCGGGCGGTCGCGGGCAAGCTCAAGGTCGCCGGCAAACGCGCGCTTGAGCGCGCTGTCCGCCGGCGCCCGCATGAGCCGGTTCCAGTGTGCGGTGCAGGCGCGCAGCCAGGCGCGTGCCAGGGGTTGGGTGCAGGCCTCGGCGGTGAGGAT